TTGGGATTTGGTTCCTCCACCTCTTGGTAAGAGTGTTGTTGGTTGTCGTTGGGTGTATAAGATTAAGACCAATTTTGATGGATCTGTTGAGCGATACAAAACTAAATTGGTTGTAAAAGGGTACTCTCAACAGTATAGTATGGATTATGAGGAGACATTTGCTCCTGTTGCAAAAATAACTACTATTCGTACGCTTATTGCAGNGATGGATCTGTTGAGCGATACAAACCTAAATTGGTTGTAAAAGGGTACTCTCAACAGTATAGTATGGATTATGAGGAGACATTTGCTCCTGTTGCAAAAATAACTACTATTCGTACGCTTATTGCAGTTGCTTCGGTTCGTCAGTGGCATATCTCTCAACTTGATGTTAAAAATGACTTCTTGAATGGGGATCTTCAAGAAGAAGTTTATATGGCTCTCCCTCCTGGTGTTTCACATGATTCTGGGTATGTTTGCAAGCTCAAGAAAACATTATATGGTCTCAAACAAGCACCTTGTGCTTGGTTTGAAAAATTTTCTGCTGTGATCTCTTCCCTTGGGTTTACTTTTAGTAGTCATGATTCTGCTCTTTTGTTAAGCGCACTGATGCAGGTCGTATCATTCTATCTTTATATGTTGATGACATAATTATTACTGGTGANTTGGGTTTACTTTTAGTAGTCATGATTCTGCTCTTTTGTTAAGTGCACTGATCCAGGTCGTATCATTCTATCTTTATATGTTGATGACATAATTATTACTGGTGATGATATTAGTGGTATTTTAGTTTTGAAGACAGAGTTAGCTAGACAGTTTGAAATGAAGGATTTGGGTTCTCTATGATATTTATTCGGTATTGAGGTAGCCTGCTCACCCAGAGGTTATTTTCTTTCTCAGTTGAAATATGTTGCAGATATTCTTGAGTGAGCTAGACTTACTGATAATAAGACTGTAGATACTCCCATTGAGGTTAATGCAAAGTATTCTTCTTCTAATGGTTTACATTTGTCAGATCCTACTTTATACCGTACTATTGTTGGGAGCTTGATATATCTCACTATTACTCGTCCAGATATTGCATATGTTGTTCATGTTGTTAGTCAGTTTGTTACTTCTCCTACTACAGTTCATTGGGCAGCGATTTTTCTTATTTTGAGGTATCTTCGGGGTACAGTCTTTCAGAGTTTTTTTACTTCCATCCACCTCTTCTTTGGAGCTGTGCGCATACTCTGATACTGATCATGGCAGTGGTCCCACAGATCGCAAATCTATTATTGGTTTCTGTATCTTTTTGAGTGATTCTCTTATTTCTTGGAAGAACAAGAAACAATCTATTATTTCTCAATCTTCAACCGAAGCAGAATATCGTGTTATGACATCTACTATCAAAGAGATTGTTTGTTTACGTTGGTTACTCGCAGATATGAGAGTTTTTCTTTCTCATCTCACTCCTATGTATTGTGACAACCAGACTTCTATTCAGGTTGCTCACAACTCAGTTTTTTATGAACGAACTAATTACATTGAGATCGATTGTCACCTTACTCATCATCATCTCAAGCATGACACCATTACTTTGCCCTTTGTTTTTTCTTCTTTGCAGATTGCAGATTTCTTTATCCAGTCGCATTCTATTTCTCGTTTTCGTTTTCTAGTTGGCAAACTCTCGATGCTTATCGTTGCTGCATCGTGAGTTTGATGAGAGATGTTAAGAAATATAGGGTTATTTTGTTTATTAAGATAAAATAATCTTTTACTTTTCCTGTCTTATTTAGCTTATATATAGTCTCTTTGTATGGTAACAATCCTGTCCTCCCATGGTTATGCATTGGGGACTTCAATGATATCCTGTCTATGAGGGAGAAAACTGGTGGCAGGGATAGAGCTTTGTGGGAAGATTNTCCTGTCCTCCCATGGTTATGCATTGGGGACTTCAATGATATCCTGTCTATGAGGGAGAAAACTGGTGGCAGGGATAGAGCTTTGTGGGAAGATTAGGAGCTTTCGTGCACTAATTGATGATACCCATTTAATTGATCTGGAAAGTAAAGGATGTCGCTTTACCTGGGATAACCATCGCGGCAGTGCAGCAAACATTCGAGAGAGATTGGATCGAGCACTTGTAAGTCCAGGCTGGCGCCTTATGTTCCCTGATGCTTTGGTCTTTGTCCCACCAGTAATTGGTTCTTATCACTCCCCGTTAATTCTGGACACTAATCCAAAGGTTTAAAGGGCTCAGAAATTATTTCGCTTTGAGAGCTTTTGGAAATAGGAGGCAGAGTGTCACGAGGTGGTTAAACGAAGTTGGCAAAATGGTGCACGAGGATCTAAAATGTTTCAGCTGCGGCAAAAGATCAAAACCTGTTCCTATGATCTGAAAAGATGGAGTGAACAACATGTTAAGAACAACAGGAAGCAAATTAATTTGCTGACGGAACAGTTAATTGAGTTTAACAATGCTCCGGCTCAAGGCTGCCATGTTGCAGAAGTTCAGAGACTTAAGGCCGAGGTTGCACGACTTTGGCAACGTGAAGAACAATACTGGGGTCAATGGTCGAGGCTGAGATGGTTGAAATGGGGTGATAGAAACACTAAGTTCTTCCATGCCACTACACTTCAAAGAAGACAAAGAACTAAATGGTCAGGCTAAAGGTGGGTGAGAATGACTGGATCACTGAGCAGCCACAAATTTATCAGGCAATTGGGAGCCACTTTCAGGAGGTGTTTGCTACTAAAGGGCAACGTGATTATTCCCAGGTCCTACAACATATCCCACCGATGGTAAATGCTGAGATGAACACTACGCTGCTTCGTATCCCTGAGTTGGACGAAATAAAAAAGGCTGTTTTCTCTTTAGGAGCACTAAAGGTGCCTGGTCCTGATGGGCTGTCTGGTATATTTTTTCAGATGTACTGGGATATCATTCAAAGTGATGTGGTTGGGGCAGTCCAGGCTTTCTTCCATGCTGGGTTTATGTTACGGGAGATAAATGAGATGAACATTACACTTGTTCCGAAGATGCAACAGCCGGAGGTGATAGGGGACTATAGACCTATAGCTTGCTGCAACTTTATCTACAAAGTTATTTCTAAGGTTATTACTACAAGGCTTAAACCATTTATGGCTCAGCTTATTTCACAGCATCAAAGTGCTTTTGTGGGGGGAGACAGATTCAAGACAACATTATTGTGGCCCAAGAAGTTCTCCATTCACTACGACAGAGGCGGGGGGGACCAGGAAATATCAGATGGTGCTTAAGCTGGACATGGCTAAAGCTTATGATAGGGTGGAATGGGATTTTTTGAGAGATATGTTGCTTGCGATGGGGTTTGATTGTAGCTGGGTTCATTTGGTAATGTAGTGTGTGTACTGTCCGCTATACTTTTCTGGTGAATGACATACAGGCTGTTCGAGTGCAACCAACGTGGGGTTTAAGGCAAGGGGACCCCTTATCTCCTTTTTTGTTTATTTTGGTGTCTGAATGCCTGACCAAGCTTATGAATAGAGCAATGGAGTCAAACCAGTTCAGAGGTGTTCAAATCTGTCGGAATGGTCCTATCCTCTCTCACTTATTGTTTGCCGATGACTCTATTTTCTTCTCCACAGCTTCTCTAAGGGATTGTCAAGTGCTTTCTGATGTGCTGAATCAGTACTGTTATGCTACTGGCCAGCTGATCAACTTCAATAAATCAGGTATCCAGTTTAGCAAAAACACTCCGCTGCACCTCCAGCAGGACCTGGCGTTCTTTATGCGAATGCCTCTTCTCTGAACCACTGGAAAATACCTTGGATTACCGACTGAATGGGGCCGGTCCAAAAAGCAATCCTTGGTATGGTTGAAAGAGCGAATCTTGGGCAAGATTGCGGGGTGGAAAGAACGGCTTCTTAACCATGCAGAGCGAGAAACTTTGATTAAGGCAGTGGTTCAAGCTATTCCGTCTTATGCCATGACCATTTTCAAGCTCCCAGTTACACTATGTAAGACATTTCTGCTGCAGTCTCAAGGTTTTGGTGGAGTAAATCAAATGGGGAAAGAGGTATTCATTGGAAGATTTAGGCAATGATTTCAAGAGGAAAGCATGCTGGGGGACTGGGCTTTAGGGATTTGGAAAAGTTTAACACGGCAGTGTTAGCAAAGCAAGCTTGGAGGTAATATCATCATCCAGATTCCCTGTGGGGTCAAGTGCTGAAGGCAAAGTACTTCCCGCATTCCTCTCTATGGCAGGCTCATTCTAAGGCAAATAGCTCATGGATTTGGAAGAGCTTTCTCTCGGGGAGGGACTTGTTAGCAAAAGGTATCATATGGCAAGTGGGCAAGGGTGATTGCATTGACTGTTGGGAGGATCATTGGGTTCCTGGTTTCAAGAGTGTTATTAACCACACAGGCAGTGCTATCAGGAAGGTGCAAGATCTCATTGAAGGTATTCGAGAGCTTTTTCCACCTGACATGGTCACAACAATTTTGGCCGTCCCATTGTCAGCTTCTGAGCATGAGGATAAGGCTACATGGGAAGCCTCCACTTCTGGGCATTACTCGGTGAAGAGTGGATACCACTTGGCTGTGAGGTTGACTGACTCTCAGTGACCCATGGTCACGCCTCTTCTTCTTTTTCTCTTCCTGATGGTTTTTGGAAGATGTTATGGACGATTGAAGCCCCGCCTAAGATTACTTCTTTTTTATGGAAGGTGGCGATGGGAGCTATTGCCACTAGACACAGTCTATGGAGAAGGAGAATATGTCATTCTCCTGTTTGTCCGGTTTGTGGAATGGAAGAGGAAACAGTGGAACATCTTTTCCTTTTATGTCCTTGGGTGGTTGAGGTTTGGGGCAATTCTCCACTGCAAATTCAACACTGCAAATTCAAGTGGATCGTTTCAATGTCTCTAGGATTGAGCTTTGGTTGATGGACCATTTACAAAATGGTTCTGTGGGGGAGGCTGAAGTGAGAAAGAGTATCGCTCTTTCATTGCCTATATGCTGTGGTTCATATGAAAAAGCAGAAATAATTGGTGTTTTAATGGCAAGTCTGTGGATAGTGTGACAGTCATCAGATAGACAGAGCTGGCCATTACAGAGTTGCATCCCCTTCGAGCGGCTGGGACCGATACCCTGTATAAGCAGGTGGTTTCAGNTGGCCATTACAGAGTTGCATCCCCTTCGAGCGGCTGGGACCGATACCCTGTATAAGTAGGTGGTTTCAGCACCTTGGTCTGNAGTCTGTGGATAGTGTGACAGTCATCAGATAGACAGAGCTGGCCATTACAGAGTTGCATCCCCTTCGAGCGGCTGGGACCGATACCCTGTATAAGCAGGTGGTTTCAGCCCCTCCACCTGGATGGGTGAAGGTTAACTATGATGGTACTTTTTCTGCAACAAGGAAACGAGGTGCGTATGTGACTGTGGCTAGAGATCATACATGCCAGGTTATTGCTTCTTCGTCAGGAAATATGTGTGTTGCCTCTGCATTGGCATCTGAAGCCTGGGCCATCTGGAAGGCGTGCTATTTGGCATTGACTGAAGGCTGGAGGTTTGTTATTTTTGAAAGTGACTCCAAAGCTCTCATTGATTCTTTGGTGCTGGGCCTGCAAAGTCATTGAGGGAGGTTGAACCACTTCAGCGTGATGTATATGGCTTCTGTCTTCCCAGCTCACTGCTGTTAATTTTCTTTTTGTCAACAGATCTGCTAATCACTTAGCTCACATGGTTGCTCATCTGACCAATTTTGGGAGTCTCTCTGTTGACTGATTTTTGAATCCTCCATTTCATGTGTTGCAACAGAACCAGCAGGATGTTCATGTGGACATCGGTTAGTTCCTGTTGCTTATTTTTTTGTTGTAAGTATATTTTTTGTAAGTCTGTTTTATGAATGACCAAAAAAAAAAATGACCCAAAAAGTATAAATAAATAGAAAATGGGTTTATTCCAATATGGGTCATGGCCTTCACGGGTGGGCGCTACAGCATCATGGGTGGGCACCATTAGCTAGTACAACTAAAAAAAGTTAAAGATGATAACACATAGGCAATGATAAGAAAACTTTTAGGGTGGGCGAGTGCCCCCTCTGGGCTGCACTGGCTTCGCCCGTGATAGTGCCCCATATTCGAATTTCCATTTTCTTTCCTTTTTATTAATTTCCTTAAAGAAGAGGCAAACTACACCAATTTCAATTTTTATACACACACACACACACACACATTTGTGGTTCATAAACACACACTTTGAGTGCATTTGTCTTTGTGATTTCATCTGTTATTTCTATAGCTAATCATTTTTTGTACTTAGAGGTGTTCACCTTACCCTACAGATAAAAAATATAATTTTTTGTTTTTTTATCTGATATTTTACAGAAGAATTTTTTATTGACCTACCCTACCCGATCAAGTGTAGTATTCATATCCGACTTCTAGCTAAATTAATCAAGTAAGAAGTCGGATAAAAAATCGGGTGAACAATTTTATAGTTATTAATTTTTGGATCATTTTAACAATTCAATTAAATAACACGCATTAATTTAATAACACAATAAACCAATAACACTAAAATTTAAAACAATTACAATAAAACACAAGAAACTATAAATATCAATCCATCATAATTGTTGCACAAATACAATAACAATTATTTTAATTTTAAATCATATGGTTAGGGAATTATATATATACATATACATATATATATATATGTATGTATATGTATATGTTTAGAGAGAGAGAGAGAAGCAACCTATGAACAGCAGCTGGAAAACTTGAAACTTACTAGACCCAAAACATGAGCAAAATGAAAATCATTTACAGAAAAAACAAAAGGGACACCAGATCTTGGACAATGAATTAAACTAGAGTAAATTTGAAATAGTT